TGAAACAAAATCTTTTCGGTGAGCTAACGTGTGAAGGCCAGAATTATTGACTGTTTTGCTACACCTGGGTTTAAAATATGTCTTACTGAAGTTGAGTGGCTTCCTCATCTTGTTACCGTCTCTCTCTGAAAGTTTATCTGTATTCTTACATTCTCTTTGTAATTGGTTCATTCATGGTACTTCTCAAAGAACAAAAAAAAAGGAAAAAAAAGGATACATTTTCAAGGAGTCCTACTCATCATCAGCGTTACGCCCGCCGCGTAATCTCCTTATCTTTACAAAACACTAAATAATCCTAGCCTAAGCCTAATACGCTAATTCAGCATGGATTTCTTCTTTTTTTTCCACGTGATTATCACAAAGCATTACAACATAAAAAGCGGTACACCCTGTTCATGCCATGACGGTTTTGTCAGGAAAAGTGTAAATACTGTGGTTTTCCTCGTATCTGAGATGAAGAGTATAAAAATCTGGGGTTATTGTAGGAGTAGGAGGAGGGAAATACTTCCTTGTGACCGTCATACCTGGTTCCCAAGCCCTCCTGAGGAGAGAGAGAGAGAGAAACAAAGAAGTAGAGGTAAGCATGTACTTATATAATATGCAGGTGTGTATATATATATATATATATATATATATATATATATATATATATATATATATATATATATATATATATATATATATATATATATATATCATGTACATCCACAATGAAAATGTGATAAATAATTTGAATTAAATGGTGACCTTAAAAACATGAGGTCAGGTCATTTTAAAGTTATCTTATAATATGTAATATATATAATATATATATATATATATATATATATATATATATATATATATATATATATATATATATATATATATATATATATATATATATATATATATATATATATATATATATATATATATATATATATATATATATATATATATATATATATATATATATATATATATATATATATATATATATATATATAGCGCTAGATAAAGAAATATAGTTTTAGAAAAAAAAATTTTGGCCATAGAAAGACACACTTAAGAAAGCTAATCACATTGACTTATGTACACATGTATCACATTAATCGTTAAACCTACACATATTTTGAGAGTTTGTCCAGTATATTACATGAGTAATGATATGCGCTTTTTAAATGAAGATGATCATAAAAATTGGATATATAAAGTTCGTCTCAAAACACTGCAGAATACATAATATATTGGTCCCTCGCATTCGTTCTTGACACGATTCATCCAGAACTGAAGCAATTCAGGCGTCCGACATTCAAACAAAAGCCGAAATTACGAGTATATGTTAATGCAATTGAGATCATTTATATCAACTTAAACACTCGACAAAGTTCTCTTAATAGCAAGAGCAATTGAAGCAGATTTTCTCTACTTCGTATTCATCATATTTATGTCTTTTTGTCCATCATGTTATAATCTTAAAATCATTGATTTTCGTCCTTCTAATGTATAAAGTGCTTAAAATCGTCATGTCTATATTTGAAACACTTAAACACTTGAGGAAAGTTACATATTGTTAAAGCGGCATATTCCTGGCCAAACAACATCCTTCAGTCACCAAGAATCAGTACAAAGTGTTGTTAGTTAGCAGTGTTCACCACACACCTGTAAACAATCTGAGCACAACTGTTCCCGCACTGAGGTTCACGTCACCCATCGACCTGGTTCCATATTATGGAAGAATTCGACGATTATCTTTTGAACACTGCGATAACTTGTGGTGTCATCAGAATACGAAGAATATTGTTTTATATGTATGGGCTAAATTGAGCAGGGAGCACCTCACACCTGAGCCTCTTGGCACCTTTACGATACCTGTAGTACCACATACCCGCGGTTATATTATTTTCTTACACCTGGGTGACGTTGCGACGCTTGCGGTCAGCCTGTGGGAGGTGGGGCTGGTGGGGTGCAGGGGTTGGGGCAGCGGTGCGGGCGCGGGACAGGAGATGGCCTGTTAGAGGCTCGTCCCAGGTGGCGGCGTAGCTGGTGTAGTCGGGTCCCGGGACGGCGCACTGGCAGGGGGCCTCCTCGTGCGGGCAGGGCACGTATACAGGGGGCTCACCGCCGCCTCCGTTGGGCACTGGCCGGTAGTCCGTCACGGTCACATCCGGGAAACGGGCGTGAAGAGGAGCGCCGTCCACCTGGTAGGCCACTACACCATCCTCGGTAGCCCCGCTGTGTACTGACAGTCGCCTTTCGTGTTCCTGCAACAGAGTGGTGGCACCCCATGACTGGACGGGAGAGAGAGGCCTGCCGTCTCTTGTAGGCTCAGGTGCGTCCTTCACCACACTATCCAGCGACTCGTGGCTCCCTCCGCCCTCCTCAATGCCCAGTGACCTTGACTTGACCATAACACTGCCGCTGCCCTGCACCTTCTCGACGTCCTTTTCGTGCTTCTGCTTGCGTCTTTTGGTAGTGTGACAGTAACAATAGGACACAAGAGCCGCCACCACCAACAGGAAGCCGCCGATGCTGCCCAGGATCACCGCCACATCCTCCAGCTGTAGCTCTGTTATGCCCACAGGTCGTCCAGATCCCAGTTCTGATGGCATCGTGTAGTTTCCTAGAACAGAGAGGTATTATGTCATTTATATATATATATATATATATATATATATATATATATATATATATATATATATATATATATATATATGTAAATCCACAATGAAAACGTGATATATATATATATATATATATATATATATATATATATATATATATATATATATATATATATATATATATATATATATATATATATATATATATATATATATATATATATATATATATATATATATATATATGGGGCAGTGTGTGCGTGTTTACATATTTTGAATAATGAAATATTCATTTTAAATTAGTGTTAATGAAGGACAAGTGGACAGTAGATAAAGTACCTGAAGTAGTGAGTGCTGGCTGTGTCCTGGTGGTGATCTCGTAGGTGGTGGGTGGGCGAGGCACCCAGAGGGCAGCGATGTTACCCATCCCTCCGATGTTGCCAGCCTCGTCCACCGCCCGCACTGTCACGTACCACAGCTGGAAAATCACATACACACACTTAGCTTCCTTATCAAACACTATTATTCAGTAAGGAAAAAATAATTACAGCTGTTGCAAGCACAGCTGCACAGAGTGTATGGCCATAATTATGATACAAAAAATGAGAAATAAGATGAATTTTAGTTTAAATTTTTTAGATAAAGCAAAAATATTTAAATGGAAAATACCCCAGATGAAGCACTGACTGAGGCAGTAGAGTTCTTCAGCACCGCCTCTTATTAGTGGTCACACTAACCTCCTCGTATCTGGTGAAGTGGAGGCTGGTGGTGTGGAGAGTTCCGGCAGGCAGTGGCTGTGGCAGACCTGTCAGCCGATCTCCCTGGAAGGCTCTGGCCTCCCTCCAGAAGGGCGCCACCACGGCCTCGTAATGATGGGCTCTGTCAACATCCCAGTCGTCTCCTGGAGCCGTCCAGCGGAGACTTATCTCGTGTACTGTGTCGTTCACCTCTACGCGGAGATCCAGGATGCGGGAAGGCGGGACATTATCTCTCACGGACGGGGGGGACACCACCTCCAGGACCCCCCACGTGACGTGTCGCAGGAAGGGAGCGGCGCGACGGGTGTGCACGTGAGGCAGACCGTTGCCACAACACGTCTCTGCACTATTCCAGTTGTCGTATCCGTGCTGGTAGTAGTGAGGTAGGTGTGACGAACTGGTCTTGTGGTGGCGGGTCGGAGGCCCCTTAGCTATCACAGCCAGTCCACTGTTGTAGTCAATGTCGGCACTCAGCAGGTAGCGGCCGGGGTTCCCAGGCAGCGGCGGCAGGTACCGGGAGTACACACCGTCGCCCTTAGTAACGTCTGGATCTGATGGTACAAAACAAGGAGGGATAAGTCAGTAATACTGTTTTCGTACATAGTTAATTGCAATTGATTTAGCATTAATGACTGTATTTGGGAACTAAAGAGTAGGCTGTAGAGCTGGAACTGGCCAGTATTGGTGCCTCACCTCTGATGATATTGTCACACAGATCTAATCAATTTACGACAGACAAACAATCAGCTCTATAATTGACAGACAGAGATAAACGTAAGCGTGGGTTAACATTGCTCCCTCACCGCCAATGCCGTTGTCCCACAGATCTAAGAAGATGGGCTGATAGTTGCTGCCTGTGGCGTTGGTGCCGAGCCTCTGGATTTTGGCCACCACTCGGGCGTCCATGATGGGTGCCACACTAGCCTTCACCTCGGCGTAGATCACCACCGGTGTCGAAGGGTCAGAGGAGTTGACAGGTCGGGAGCCAGAGCTGGTCCAGAGGCGCACCTGTAGCCCCAGCGACGAGTTGCGCTTAGATGTCACCTGCACATACAGGCCCTGGTGGGAGTCGGCGCGGTTCTCCACGCTGTACGTCCACAAGCCGCGCTGTTATGAGGAGAGACACGTCTGTTGTTCAGTAAATAATTATAGATAATGATGATTCAGTAATACATTATCAGTTATACATGAAAAGTTCAGTGGCTTTGTCTTTCAAAAAATACAACCTCAGGTTTATGACAAATAATATGGAATAAAATATGACTGTTTGTGTCAAAGACTTGTACTCACCTCAGCCTTCTCGAGACTGATGAAGATCATGTTTACATCACCGTCTTCTTCTTGGACATTAACTGAGGCGATCTTTTGTCCAGAGGGAGCTGTGAGCTCGATAGCATTACCCACGTGGTTCAGGTCGTAGTAGTAGACTGAGAAACGAGCGTTAGGACCCAGTGAGTCGTCCAGGGCGAAAGACCCAGCAGACATAGAAGCTATGCCGCCAGGGTAAGCAGCACTGTGGACTAACACGGGGGCTCCTGGTGCTGAGGGCGGCGCGTTCTTCTGTACAGCTGCCAGGAGGGCGTCCATTAGCGCTACCATCATCTTCACCTTAGAGTCGTTGCCAACACCTTCGTCCATGACGGTATGGATGGAGCCCTGTGTGGCCGCCATCAGGGACTCAAGGCCGTGTGTGGCAGCAGCAGCTCCTCGGCGCTCAGTCAAGGGATACAATACTGCTTCGACCTTCAAGTGCCGTTGTTTTGCCAGGTAAGTCATCTCATCTACTTCCCTTTGTGGCGTCGGACCTGACCCAGTGGTGATAAGGATCAAGATAGAACCATCACCATTCTTGCCATCAGCGTCCAGAACCCTGAGGGCCTCCTGCATACCGCAGATCAGACACTTGTGGCTCTCGGGGACAGGTGACGGGTTACGAGGTAAGGAAGAACCTACACGCTGCCTCATGTCGGAATCTTCACTCTCGATATAGGTGAGAGGCGCAACAGTCCTTGCTACTGAGTGGAATGTGACCACACCAACGTGAGCACCGTCAGGTACGTCGTAGACTACCACACGACGCATCGCCTTACGCAGGAACTCCCAGCGACGCTGTTAGTGATATAACTTGAATCCGTCAGTACACAAGATATATGGAATCAAATACACCAACCTTACGAACTAGCTACCCCTCATAATTATATTGCATAAATAATTCTTAGTAGCAAACCAAAGTGTAACATGTTGCATGCAATAAATAGATACCTTGTTGTAGGTACGGTCAATAGTCATTTAAAAAAGAGCCTATAAAGAAACAGCAGCACCACCTATTCATACTACAGCCCTCGGAGACAGTGGAAGGATGGGAGCAGTAACTCACCTGAAGGTTCATGGTGGCGGTGTCCTCGATGACGATCACGTAGCGAGGACTGGCCTGCTGCACGAACCTCAAGATGGGATCAAGACCTCGACTCCCGTTGCTGGCTGAATTCCTGTGGGAAATATGTAAATGGTCTCGGTCAGGTTTTCTCTCTCAACTTTTTTCTTTCTCTATCATTTCATCTATTTCCAGCACACCTTGTCTAGGAGGGTGGTGGCAAGTGTAGTTTGCTCCTTTGTTAGGTGGACCAATGCAGTGTTATTCTAAAAAAAAGTATTTCATCAAACTTGTGTTCTGTATTCCAAAAGACGAAAGGGATAGTAACCTAAAGCCAGTTATGAATATTTATCACCGAAGACTTTGTGAGGTAATCCCTGGTCTTAATATTTTTCTACATGGATGTTGTACCAAAAGATCACTTAGGAAATACAACATAGAGAGATACAACTCACACCTCTGCCAGGTATAACAAAATAACACGCGAAGATTTACTTGAATCTTTATAAACCTTAGAAAATATAAGTGCACGAAAATGAATATTCAGTCCTATAAGTAAATTGATATGATTGTGATAATCTTAAAAAAAAATTTGACCATTATGATCACCTGAAGAATCTCTACCATGACATCTAATTGTGATCTCCAGTTCTACCTAAGATACATTCCTGTATCCTTCACACCCATCCATGGTTCTGTGGACACTAGACCCAGCTGAGGTATCTTCGTCTTACTTTCCATATGAATTAATACTCTCTTTCCTTTACCCCCCCCGAGGAAGATATAAGAAACTTCCCTCCTGCCTATTTTAATGGCTAGAGAAGCCCTGGCCCCTTGACCATCTTGAAGAACCTTGCTGGCCAAAATAACTACCCTGAAGGTCCCTGCTGGCCCCTTAACCTCCCTGTAGGACCCTACTGGCGTCCTTGACCACCCCGAAGGACCCTGCTGGCCACAACAACCACCATTCCTCCTCCCATCCATCAGTCCACTCCCATCCCCTTTCCACCCCTTCCTCCTTTCCCATCCCCCTTTCATTCCTCCCTATTTTCTCATCCTGCCCTTCTACTTCCCACTCTTTTCCCATCCTTCCTTCTATCCCTCCCTCCTCTCCCACCCCCTCTTCCATCACTCCCCTTTTCCAATGCCCCTCCAGCCTTCCCTCTTTTCGAATTCCCCTTTCACCTCTCCCACCTCTCCCATTCCCCTTCTATCCCTCCCTTCTCTCTCCCCCTCTCTCGCCTTACCTCACCGTTACTCACCGTCCACCAACAAAGTCAGGCGTCTGTTGTATAATCTCCCAGGCTGAGCGACCACCACACAGGGAGTTGTGCTTTGTAGGAGCGACACGGTTGTGGTTCGTCCCGTTACAGAACAGTCGAACCTGAAGGAGAGAAAGCCATTACGTTTCAGGTACAGGAGGCTGAGTTACAGTCTTAGGGTTACATGGGAATCGAACCTGTGACGGACAAACAGACTGGAGGTAGAGTTACAATGTTTGTTTATATACACACACTGCTGTAACAGGATGCATTATAACATACTTAACCTCAAAGACATTTGATATACTGTAGACTAACGGATACAGACCTAAAAGTTACAGAACTTATCAATACAAATTTACATTTATTTTTAATCGATCGACAAAAGTTGGTTGCTTCCATATCTAGATGCCAAAGGATACAATATTTTTAAGTTCTTTTAAGGATGTGACGTATCGTGGTCGGTTTAATAATTTTGTGGGTCATTAATTTCCTGACCTGAATCTGAAATCCTAACACATTTCATACTGTCTGACCTAACATAGACTAACCTAATGTAAATTACCTTAACCTAACCTTTTCAGGTAGTAGGCATCTATCAAGCAGGGAGGTACTACCGTTTGGGAAGATATTTGAAGCATAATGTTTGTCTAATGGTAGACCCTGTTGCCATATGGCATCATAAAAATTGTGACCAAGTCCCAGGTTACTGATTTGACTGACTTTCTGCCTCATTTACACACAATTGCGGGATCGCAATTGTTTATCATATTTTGGCAGCACAACATATATATCGTTTCTCACTGTTGATCGTTTTTTTTTTAATTTCTGTATTTATTTGTGGTGTAACTTGTTATTAATTTATTTTGTTGTCCCCCAGGCCCCGATGTGGGTCGGTGATCTGTGCCCGAGTGGGCTAATCCTAAAAAGAAACTCAAACCTAACCTAACATAGCATAACCTACCACTAACCTAATTTTATATAACCTAACGAAAGTATATCGAATCTAACCTAACTTTATTTAACTTACCTTAGAAAAATATATCAACTTAACCAAAGCTAACCTTTTCCTTTGTTAACCAACACGAGAGAAAAGTCATTTAGGAGAGAGAGAGAGAGAGAGAGAGAGAGGTAAACAGACAAATAAAAATCCACACGAACTAAAGGAGCAGTAAAGTAGATAGATTAACATACGTTCAATACAGAAATGGAGAAAAATAAATGAAAATGGTACAGAATGAAAGAGAAGCGGTGGGAGGAAGGAAGGGAGAAAGGGAAAGAGCAATAATGGAAGGGGCAGTAAACAGTCAGCGCTGAACAAGATGAGGCCATAATGTTGCTTGGTCAAAAGGCGTAGTCCTGGGCCAGATTTGCTTACCTGATTTAGTAAGTCGAAAGGAGAGAGAGAGAGGTAAAGAGAGAGATATAAAGGAAGAGAGGTAAAGGGAGAGAGAGAGAGAGAAAGAGAGAGAGAGAGAGAGAGAGAGAGAGAGAGAGAGATGGTAATTTGTCCAGCGTATGAAAGAAATGTTTGTTGTGCCAGAAAGAGAAATACAGAGAGAAACAGAAAGAAAATGGGATGAGAGAACAGAACCATTTTAAGGCAAAATTCTCAAGGACTCTTAAGACAAATCGATCCTTTAACTGAAGGCTAACGAGAGCTTATCTAAATGGCTCGATTAAACAAAGAAACCAAATTTGCACTTCAAAACAAAGACGTAATTTTCACTCACGCTAATGATCACGCTTTCTTATGGTTATTTAAGAGAAACAACATAAAGTTCCTTCGTGATGAGGAACCTTAATTACCCCAAAACAGGAGGAAAATTTGACTAGAGTACGTCATTAGTATTAGTAGGTGATGTAAGCTAAACAGAAGAGTGCATGTCACTGCCCGTAGTAACATCAATGGAGGTGTTATGATGAATGAGGTACCGGGCAGAGCCAACTCCATCAACACCACCACCGGCTGGCCTTCATTAGCGCTTATTCACTCATGTGTAGCCGGAGAGATGTTTGATAAAACTGGCGTTAGCTGTGTAGCTGATGTGACGATGATGTGTGTGTGTGAGAGAGAGAGAGAGAGAGAGAGAGAGAGAGAGAGAGAGAGAGAGAGAGAGAGAGAGAGAGAGAGAGAGAGAGAGAGAGCAAACTTCATTACTGCTGCAGTATCAAAATGACTATAAATTATATTTGGCTCAACAAGCGACACCAGCGTTATGATTCATTACTCCTCTGTTGATTACTTGACACACAGCTTGACAAGACAAGAGAGAAAATAAAATTGACTCAAAAACTCCTTGCTGCCTCCCGCTAAAATTAAAGATAAAAACCTACTTCACAATCTTTCTGGAGTAAATGTTTGGTAATGAGGGTGTCGTACTTACGGTTGGCAGCTCTGGGAAGGCGAGAAGGGAGGTGCTGAGGTGGTTGTTGTTGTAAGGCTCAGGTGTGAAGGAGCAGCCTGGCTGGGACGGGTCACAAGTATTGCCCTTGACGGCCCCGTCAGCACATCCCGTCGCCGCCCACTGATGAGTGTTCGGGTCACGGAAGGTGGGCGGGTAGAGGGGGTCGTTGGTGTGGCCTCTCTCGTCGAACACCCCCCATCGGAACTTTGCCCACTCTGTCAGTAACAGGCGGGCGACGTGGGCGTGGGAGTCATTACTAGCTGCTCGCAGGAGGTCCCCGCCCATCTGGATAAAGTCCCCCTGACGGCCACATCCTTGGCTCTGCTGCGTCCAGGGTCGTGCCCCGAACACCGGGTGGGGTGCCGTGATGCGGACATGTCCCTCTGTAGGTGATGAGGAGTCCATGAGGGGCGTGAGGAGGGAGCAGGAAAGAGCGTCGGTTCGCCAGGCGCGAGGTAGTGCCACTGTCACCTCTCGTAGTGACGCCCGACCCTCTGTAGCCGACCACATCTGGCTAGACAGCTCCCTCAACACACTCTGTAGAGGAGAACACAGTCATTACTATACTGGATATCTAGTGACAAGAATGTTGAATCTCTTTATCTACTAATCTTAATCAGAATTAATTCTCACCAGAAACACACAATACAGAGTTAAACGTTAAAATACACAACTACTCCTACATCACAAACACACATAACGATACAAATAAACGTGTACGTGACCATAGTTTTTCTTCATTTAGTAGTTTAATACACCCGCCCACCAGCACCCACCCACAATCACCACCCACCAACACCCGCTCACAAGTACCACCCACCAATACTCAATATCATGAGAGAGAGAGAGAGAGAGAGAGAGAGAGAGAGAGAGGGAAAATTGAGCCGACGTGGATTCGACATCTGATGGTTTTGTGAAAACTGACGTGGCACTGATTCCTTGTGATTGGAGCTGCTTCCCCTCAACCCCCCCCCCTCCTCCCGCGACTGATTCCCAGACAATCTGCTTACAGAATGCCTCACTCGTTGATTGGAAAACTGGGACTGGCGCTGGTTCTAATCAGTTAACTGGAAGTCTATGATTAGAACTAGATTGACTTGACTGGAACTGTGACTGAGAAGCTCCTCACGTATATCCAGGATTATGAGTGGTCAGTAGTCGGAAGTATTGGCCCTATCGGACTGTGTCATTCTAATCTCTTTTGATAAGCTGCGTTTTGATTGGATTGGACGATATATATATATATATATATATATATATATATATATATATATATATATATATATATATATATATATATATATATATATATATATATATATACATTTTTTTTTTATCTGTGGTGGAAAACGTTCTGAATTTTGCCAATTCTTTGATCGTTGCCTGTTTCCTCTCGCTCTCGGTCTCGCCCTCTTCGTCGGCTTCGTTCTCTTTCTCGTCCTCGTTCTCGTCCAGGTGCTCGACATTAGCTACGATATTTTTTTTCGCCCTTAACCTCGTCCTCGCTCTCGAACTGAACCTTAACCTTATCATTCCTTTTTCCTGGTCTTCGTCCTCGTCTCGATTCTCGTTCTCTAGTTCATTGTATTCGTCTCCGAATGTAACCAAGTCTACAATTTAATTCTTAATCCCGTCCTCGCAATCTCCTTCCTCCTCCCTTTCCTTCACCCTCGCCTTTCTCTGCTGCGCCTTTCCCTCCTCTCCATCTCTCCCTACCTCACCCTCTCCTATTCTCCCTTCCCACCTCACCCTGCTCCTCACCCTTTCCTTCCCCCTCCCCCCCCCTCCCCTCGCCCGCGCCCTCGCAATGGTCTACTCAACTTAGCTCTTCAGGACCTTCGACATATCGGATGATCCGTCCTCTGAGTCGTGTGGAGTCCCTTGTAGGAGGAATATTAAGGTGGGAGGGACTGGCACTCATTGGGAGATGAATGTGTAGACGAAAAAAGCGAATATTTATTGATGAAAAAGGTGAAACAAATATGGTACAGAAGAAGAATTCCGATAATTAGTCAGAAGATGAAAGAAAAAGTAGAAAAAAATAGTGAATGAATAACGTAGAAAAAGAAAAACAGAAAATATATAAGACAAAAACAGACAAGAATAATGGCTAATTAAGAAAAAAGAAGGAAAATGGTTAATGAAGGAGAAATCAAACAGACAAGTGGATAATGAACAAAAGAAGCACAAGAAAATACTTAATGAACATGAAGAATAAAAAATGCAAATAGTTAACGAAAAAAGGTGAATAGGAAGATAATTAAGAAGACGCTTAGTCGTAGAAGAATTAAAAGATGGAAATAATAGACGATTAATAAGAGAAGATGATGATGATGATGATAAAAACAAATATGTGTTTTAAAGAAGATAAATAATAGAAGAAAAAAACATGAAATAAAACACAAGGAATAAATTAATAAAATGCATTGAGACAAACATCAATAAATGCAATCAATAAAAAAATTAAAGAAAAGAATAAATGAAATATTCAACGTACTATAATAATAATAATAATAATAATAATAATAATAATAATAATAGTAATAATAATAATAATAATAATAATAATAATAATAATACAAGAAAAGAAGGAAGACAGTTTGGTGAAGTATTGTATTAGTCTTTTGTCGATGGTAGACGGATGCCTTTTGTACCAGTGAACAAAAGCAGGTAAGAAAAGACATCGACATAGAGGACGAGATTCAATGAGATTCGACCATGTGTACGGGATACATAAAGACGAAATTCCCCGCGTAAACAAAGTTGTGAGTTAGGACTGTAAGGTTATTGTTTTTCTTTTTCTTTTTAGGCATTAATTAGGTGGCCCACGTGTGACGAAAGTACAAGTGTATGTATTAGAGGATGATAATTAGTACAGGCTTCAGGTGTATCCAGGTGTGTTGTCTGCCGTAATTCATCACCTCAGCTGTAAATAGCCGTGAAACAAAGGACGCTTCTGGCTGGACTTGTTCTGCATGTATGTATGTATGTATGTATGTATGTATGTATGTCTATCTGTCTGTCTGTCTCCCCTTCCTGTCCACTACATTTGGCGCCTATGCCCTTATAGCTCGTAGGTTGATGATGAGACTAGTGATAAAAAGTTCAGGTGTGAGCGGGAGCACCTGGTTCAATAAGGGCATACCGTGTTCAATATAAGTTTTCATGAATAATTTAAAGGGATTCATTATTTTGTTAATGGAATGCTGGCCACACTCTATGCGTATGACTTCATAAGTTGGTGTGCCGGAAGAGATATGTGGATTAAAAAAAGAAAAAAAGAACATAAATGAAAAATAATCATTATGTGAGGTAGAGATGAAGGAAAAGAGGTAGAGAGGAAGTTAGAGAGATAGGGAAGATGTAGGAGTGATTACCAAAATAGATAAGCACTCACTATACACACACATTCACACTCAAATACATTAACACACACACGTACACAAACACACAGAAACATATGCATACACAGACACAAACACAAACACACACACACACACACACAGGGAGTAGATAGCTTGTATCCTATCGCTACAAAATGCAAAATCATCATACATAATTTATGGTACACACACGCTATTGTTATGATGAGCACTTATGTAAACACACTTATTATTCCGACCAGACCTCACCATGATAGATTTTTTCCAGATATATATTTTATACTGTTATATTTTTTATGAAACTCTTTTGTGATGAACGTTTGATTTATTCATTTATTTATTTAGATGATGAACAATTATTGAAAATTGGCGTAAGCTTTTTTATTATTCACGTCAAAGCTTATCATTATTATTGTTGTTTCAGAGATTTTATTATTTTAGTCATTTTTTTTTTATATATTTTTAGTTCATTGTTTATATGTGTATGTTGTCTTTAATCAATATAAACAAGTTAATTATTTTTCAGGTGTGCACTTATAAGGAAGGATTCACTCACTCACTCACTCACTCACTCATTCATTCTACCCTCCATCCTTCCACTCACTTTACTTCTTAACCCCCAGCAGCCGTCCCTCCACTCCCTCATCCCCCCCACATCCTCCACCACTCCCTCACACCCTACCCCACCCCCCGCCACACAGATAAAGCATGACATACAGTCGCCTCACACTTTCCTCCTCGTTTCACCTTCCCCTGATATTTCACTCCACATTTAAGACGCGTCCTCGAGTATCAACTTGTGGGCGGCGAGGATGGTGGTGGTGGTAGTGATGGTGGTAGTGATTGTGGTAGTGGTAGTAGTGGTGGTAGTGGTGGTAGTGGTGGTAATGATGGTGGTGGTGTAGATAGGTGTTGTGGTGGTAGTGCTGGTGATAGTGGTGGTGGTGTTGGTAGTGTTCGGGGTAGTTGTTGTGATAGTAGTGGTGGCAGTAGTGGTGATGTTGGTGGTCAAATGAGGTAGAGGAGGTAAGGCAGAGAAGATAAATATAGAGGATAAGGGTAATGAGTAAAAACAAAAAAAATAGATGAGAAGAGGGGAAGTGAAAGACATGATAAAGTGGTAGACTCTTAAGAGTGATGATAAAAATAAAGGAGGTAGATGACGTACACGAAGAGAGAGAGAGAGAGAGAGAGAGAGACTCACAAAGGAGGAAGGTAGAATTTGAATGTGATAAACGGGAAAAGAAAAAGAGCAAGTAAAAGAGTTTGAAGACGCTAGGAGAAAAGAAAAAGAGGAAGAAAACCGAAGACGTGAAAGGATGAGGAAAGATAGAGAGATGGAGGAGAAGCCGACGACGCGTAAAGAAGGATAAAGAGAGAGATGGAGGAGAAATTGAGGACGGAAGAAGATAAGTAAAGGAGAGAGATAGAGAAGAAGGGAAAGATGTGCAAAGAAGAAGAGAGATAAAGACACAGGAGGCGAGAACATACGAAGAGGAGTAGGGAGAGAGAGAGAGAGAGAACGTGGCGAATACTGAGAGAGACAGAGAAGAAGTCAGATGATGTAAGGAGAGAAGAAGAAAGAAGCAGAGGAGAAACCAAGGACGTGAAAGAAGAAGATGAAGAAGTGGGCAGGAAGGAATAGAGAAAGATGAAAAATATAATTAAGTAACCTAGGCAACAGCAGCACCAGCATCCCCCAGGTTCATCTCAGTGACAGAAGGCCACGAGAGAGAGAGAGAGAGAGAGAGAGAGAGAGAGAGAGAGTCCTTCCCGTCTCACGCTGCGAAGAACAATACCTCTAAATCACTCCCAAGAAAATGTCATTGGGAATTAATCCACCGATAGAAAGTGTAATGAGGAGCACTGGAATTGAGAGAGAGGGGGGGGAAGAGGGAGGGAGGGAGGGGGATTAGAATGAGTAAGAGGATGGAAGGAAGGAAGGGGAAAAAGGAGGGAGAGGAAGGGGACTAGAATATAAGTTGAGAGGATCGAAGATCATAAATTTCACTCCCTTCCCTCCTCCAGAAATTTAATGAGGGGTTTGGTGGCGTATACAGTGAAGGGGATACGGTTCACTACTCCTGTGGTTCCCCTCATAGGCTGTGTGGGAGGGGGGTGATTTAGCAGTCTTCTACATTTAATATTTTTTTATTTTCTCACCGAGGATCATTGAGGGAGCGACCACTGTACTTTACATTAATCTTCT